AACTTGAAACGACGATGACGTGGAATAGATCGACAAACAAAATGTGAGTCAATGATGTTTGCACCGTGGGGTCCTCTTGAGAATCCTCTTTGGGGCCTCTTGGGGTGATCCCAGCGCGCTCCAGGGGGTCCGGAGCTGGGCTGCCCTGGGAGCCACCATCCTCACATATAGAACATATATATGTACATATATACAAGTGGCACGTGTGTGCCCAGGCTCATACAAAAAACTGAAGGGGCGTTTGAAGCAGGAGTGAAATGCAACATCGAAGTCGCACTCGAGCGCAAGTGGGGTTGCCACACCTTGCGATGTGTGTACCAGGGCCCCCCAGGAAGCCTCAGGAGGCCCGACTTGGATACCAGAAGAGGCTCCAGGAGGCCCCAGGATTGTGAGTGTTGTGCGTGTGTGTGTGTGTGTGTGTGTGATGTATGCTTTGTGTGGTGCGTGCTTTTTGTGTGTTGTAGGTGTGTGTGTGTGTGTTATGTTTGTCTAGCGTGTGATGTGTTGGGCGTGATTTGTGTCTCTGTGTGCATGTAGTTCTGAAGCCCCAGGAGGCCCCAGGAGGCCCCAGGCGGCCTCAGGAGGCCCCAGGAGACCCCAGGAGGCTTCAGGAGGCCCCAAGAGGCTCCAGGAGGCCGCAGGAGGCCCCAGGAGGCCCCAGGAGGTTTCAGGACACCCCCAGGAGGCTCCGAGGCGGGGTCTGGGGTGCCAGAAGGTTCAGAAAGCCCCAGGAGGCCCCAGGAGGTTCCAGGAGGCCCCCAGGAGGCTCCGAGGCGGGGTCTGGGGCTCGATTTTGGGAGGATTTTTCAAGCGAAACCGCCATTCCCTGAGAATCGGGGTCACAATTATTGAAATTACCGTGTGTGTTTGAAGGTTTTATGTTAAAATGTTGAAATTCCCATGTGTTTTTGGACCCTGACATCACGATCTGCGTGAGGGGTGCCACCGAATTTCAGAATTTCGAGGATGTCCCGAGCGAAACGCCCAGAAAAATCGCGGACGCGTGCGCATTAATCGCCTCTGAGCTCTACTCCCTCGGAGAGGTGCGTATGAGAATATATATATATATATATATATACATATATATATATATATATATGTGTAGATATATGTATATATATATATACATATATATATATATATATGTACACAAACGTATACACACATCTGGTCCCCCCCCCCTCACCCCACCACACAGGGACCTACCTCATCCTCCCTTTTTTCTCGATCGCTTTGATATTATAGAGTATGTATAATAACATCGTATCATTGATTCCTTTCCTCCTTGTTTCTCTCTCTCTCTCTCTCTCTTTCCCTCTCTCTCTCCTCTCTCTCTCTCTCTCGTTTTCTCTCTCTATATATATATATATACATATATCGCTCTCTCTCTCTCTCGATCTGTATATATTATATCAAAAGAGAGGTAGAGAGAGATGCATATATCGCTGTCTCTCTTTCTTCCAAACTGTTGCGATTACATTATGCTCTTGCTTGAGAAGGCTTCCATCAGAGGAAGAAAAGGAGCAGGAGAAGGAGCGGAGGAGAAGGAGGACGAGCAGGACGAAAGGGAAGGAAGGAGGTGGACGACTCTGTGTAGAGGAGGCTCCCGCATGAGAAATCCAAAAAAACTCACAAAAACTCACTAGGGAGGAGGCTCCCACCTGAGACATCCCATACAAAAACCAACCAGGAGGAGGCTCCCGCCTGAAAAGTCCCAAAACAACTCGCTTAGGAGGAGGCCCCCGTCGTCCCCCAAAACAAGAAAAAACAGGAGGCTCCCGCCTGAGAGATGCCCCAACAAAAACAAACACGAATAGAATAAGGCTGCCGCCTGAGAGGTCAAAAAAAGGCGAAGAGAAAGAGGCTCCCGCATGAGAGGTCCCAAACAACTGAATCAAATGGAGGCTCCCTCCTGAAAGGTCCCCCAAAAACCCGGGAGGAAGGCCTCTCATTACTGAATGTGTCCAAAAACCCGACAACACCCAAATCTCTAGAGGAGCATGCGGCACTTGCCAAGAAGACTGGGCAGCAGTGTCGGTATTCCTCTGGAGCTTTGGGCGTGTTGGGTTTTTCAAGACAGTTGCAAGGATGCGAGACCTTCCTCTTAGGTTTCGTTTGGTTGTTCTTAAAACCTCTCAGGCGGGAGCCTCCATTTGACTCGGGTTTTGGGGGACCTGTCATGCGGGAGACTCCTCCTCCTCCTCCTCGCGTGTTTCTGGACCTCTCAGAAGGCGCCTCTTCCTTTTCATGTTTTTTGTTGGAGGACTTCTCGGGCGGGAGCCACTTCCTCTTCTCATGTTTGGGGGTACCTCTCAGGCGGGAGCCTCCTCGACAGCGAGATTGTATGGGACCTCTCAGGCGAAAGCCTCCTGCTGTGCAAGTTTGTTTATTTCTGAACCCTCGCAAGCGGGAGCCTCCTTCCCATAGGATTCGTTTAGGAAACGGCTTCGGGGAGCTTCTCAATCGACAGCCCCATCACCTGACGGAGGATCAGGAAGAGGCCACGGCGGGAGGAAGCATGCAGACGATGAAAAAATGGTAGTGACGATGATGAGCATGAGCATGATGCTGGTGCGGGTCATGATAATGGTGTGCATGATGCTGGCGAGACGGAGGTATGTGGAGGATTGCGATGAGTTTGCGGAAGAGCGCGAGTGTGATGATGCAGAGAATGGCTGTGATATCGCCGACCGGATGTGGACGAATATACGGATCGCAATGGCAGTTATGATCATGATGGCTGTGGTGATAATAATGTTCATGCTTGTGCTGTTGATGGCGCCGATGTTGAAGATGAGGGCGAGCGGAGGGGGGAGGGTCGGAGGGACACGGAGCTGGTCGAAACAAAAAAAATGAAACCGAACAGGAAGATCCAGTCAGGCCCGACAACCAAATCGAAGTAGAATCCACTTGAGTTCCTGTTGAAACCGAATTAGGATACAGTTGGAATTGAGCAGGACCCGGATCGAACTGATTCAAATTTGATTCCCATTGGAATCAAGTATTAGCAGATTGGAATTGTGTTCCAATGAACTTGAACAGATCCCAGATCTAGCTGCTTCCAAGTAGATTACGATTGTAATAAATTTTAAGTCGAATTAGAATCGGGCAGATCCCATATCCAGCTGATTCCGATTGGATTAGTTCTATTGGTACATAATTTGGATATAGTTTCGACCCTTTCGCCCTCCCATGATCAAGTAGAGAAAACAGACAGACAGCGTCCGATAACTAGTGCTTCCGAGCTGCTCGCGCTGACGGCGACGCCAACGAAAGATCGATGATCAAGATGTGAAAAAAAAACGAAGAAGATGAAGAAGACGACGGGTAGAAGAATCTGTAGTGTGGGGACAAGCAAATCTGGTAGCAACCACACACATGATCATACTCTGCGTTTCACTGTTATGCAGTTCCCATCATGTTTCTGCAAAAATATGATCTAAACATATCGATGTACATATATAAATGTCCATATATATATATATATATATATATATATATACATACATGTATCTTCCCGTGTCCCGGTCCTGCTTCTCCTAGCACAAGTCGTCCTTCATACTATCCGATTCCCCCCCTTGCTCCGTCAAACACAACTCGTCTTTATGAGTATCCGATCCCTCAAACTTTCCTCCGTCTCCTCCTTCTCCGTTCCTCATCCTCCTTGCCTTTCTTCTCCTTGTTTCAAAACCAAGAGCCATAATACACCGTGATTGGTGCCCTCGGTGCCACGAAACGCTGTAGATGTACTGCGTCTTGCATGTTGGGTCTGGGAAGCAACGAAACACTATGTATGCTTGGTTTTTTCTTTGGTCTTCTGGAGATCAAGTGCTCCCCGCGGCCTCCCCCCGAACAACTAATCCTTCTCCCCCTTCCGCTTCCCACCCCCCTTCCCCTTTCCTTTTCTCCTCCATGCTGCAAAAACAGAAAACAATGATACATAGTGGTTGGCGCCCTTGGCGCTACGAAATGTTTGGTGCTGTGTTGTAACTTGGTCTGGGACGTTTTTGCTATTTTTGTGGGGGGGGGTCTGGAGGCTCCTGAAGAAAAGAGGATGTGGTGTTGGGGGGGGAGGGGAGCACTTGAGTTTACAAAAACCCACACAAAAACCAAAAAAAACGGCTCCTTCTCCCTCCGCCCCTCCTCCCTCCGCTCGCCCTCACACTCAACATCGGCGCTGAACTTCATCACCACAACCGTCATGCTCATAATTGTCACTGCGATCCGCATTTTCATCCACATCCGATCGGCATTATCACAAACCTTCGATGCCTCATCACAACCGGTCTCTTCCGCAAAGTCATCGTACTCCTCACCGGGACCTCCTTCTCGCCAACATCATGCACACCATCCTCGCAACCCGCATCATCAACGCAACCATAATAATCATCACCATCAACATCATCATCATCATCATCATCATCATCATCATCATCATCATCATCATCATCATCATCATCATCGTCATCATCATATGAATCCACTTGAAATCAGCTCGAACTTGTATTTTCCGAAGTCCAATTTCGAGCTAGATCTCAATAGGAATACACTTGGAATCAGCTGGATCTGGGACGTGTTCCACTCCAATTGAAATCTCATTCGATTCCAACAGAAATCAAAGTTGGATCAGTTTGATCCGGGATCTGCTCAATTGCAATGAAATCCCTAGTATATTCCAATAAGACTCAAATTGGAATCAGCTGTATCTGGGAACCCTGTTCGGGTACACTCGGACATTTCAGCAGCGGGGAGCTTCCAGCGCGACAACACAAAACAAGTAGGTCCCTGAGGGGATAGCATACATATATATATATATATATACATAGATACACAAGCATACACACATACATGCGTATAAACAGACACATACATAGACGACTGGCGATTCGCTGCTCTTCCTTCTCCCTGCTGGCGATTCTCTGGTCTTCCTTCTCCGTCCTGTCTTGACTCCTGCCCCTCCCCAACCAACGCGCGCGTCGCACCCCTGCCGCCCGCCCGTCCGAACAGGAAGCTCAGCATGGACCGGAAGTCTGCGGACCGGCTTTTTCGGTCGGACGAGGGAGGAGAGGCGGCGGCTCGCCATCGGACGATTCTCGGTCAGCGCGAGTGTAGAAAATATGTAGTCGCATGCGTGCTATGCCTGGATGTGTAAATCCTCCGGCACTCACAGCTATGTGTTTTGTGATTCCCCGGCCAAAACAGGCCCTGCCCCCCGAAGTCAGCCCCAATACAACCAGAGGGGGCCCTGTGACACACAAATAGATACACACAAATAGAAGGATTCCCCCTATTTCCTATATTTTCTGGGTTTTTGTCTTCCCCCCCACTTCCCATATTTTCCCATACTTTCTGGGGAATCGTCGATTGATTGTGTCTATGTGTCCTTCTCCCTCCTGGCTATACAAATCCAGAGGGGGAGCAGGATGACACTGCAGGACGGGGAGCAGGACGCCCGCCCCCAGGAGCCGACGACTCGACCGCGACCGCGCCGGTGGGCCGGCAAGGGGGGCGGGGGCGAAGCTATGAGAGGGGGGAGAGGAGAGACCTCCAACTCCTCCTCCTCTTCCTCCTCCTCCTCCTCTTCCTCCTCCTCCTCCTATTCCTCCTCCTCCTCCTCCTCCTCCTCCTCCTCCTCCTCCTCCTCCTCCTCCTCCTCCTCCTCCTCCTCCTCCTCTGTTTCTGTTTTCCAGTGCGGCCATGGTCAGTGACCCATGGCAGCCCGCAGAGATCCGCCCCTCCAGTGGAGGATGACAACATATTTAATCATTCCAGAGCTGAATTGTCTGGGCGTCGATTCGGGCCCTTCCGAATTTTGCCTAGTCTCTCGCTCCTCCTCCTCCTCCTCCTCCTCCTCCTCCCCCTCCTTCTCCTCCTCCTCCTCCTCCTCCTCCTCCTCCTCCTCCTCGTCCTCTTCCTCCTTCTCCCCGTTTTGCTTCCCGCCCCCGAATGAGGTTCCCCACTCCTCTTCCTCCTCCCCGAGAGGTAGAATTCGGGGACGAGGAGGCCTAAGGGGATGAGCAGGGGAGGTGGAGAAGAGTGAGGGAGGCGAGGACGGGAGACGAGGAAGGGAGGAGTCACAGGGGAGAGGGCAACGCGGGAACAGAAGAGGAGATGAGGCCGAAGGGGAGGAAGCGGAGGGAGAGAGAAGGGGAAGAAGGGAGAGAAGGTCAAGGGGAAGGAAGAGATGTGGGGTCCAAATTGGGAGGGTGCTGCGACACATCCCGTGATCTGGGTGCCTTTGGGTAAGCAACCAATATTCATGCTCCTCTATCTCCGCCTCCCCATCATTATCCATCACAACACCCTCAATCTCCTCTCCCTGGTCCTTCTTCCGAACAACTCATGCTCCCGATCCCCATCCTCATTCGCTTATCATCACCATAACTGTCCTCCTCCTCATCATCATCGTTCTCTTCATCCCCTTCATCATATTACGTTTCCTCCTCCTCTTCGTTCGTGTCCTCCTCTTCCTCCTCCTCCTCCTCCTCATCCTCATCCTCATCATCAGCATCATCAGCAGCATCAGCATCATCATCCTCATCATCCTCATCATCGTCGTAATCATCAGCATCAGAAGCATCGTGATCATCAGCATCATCATCATCATCATCACCACCACCACCACCACCACCACCATCATCATCATCATCATCAGCAGCAGCAGCAGCAGCATCATCAGCAGCAGCAGCATCATCATCATCATCATCATCATCAGCATCATCATCAGCATCATCAGCATCATCAGCATCATCAGCATCATCAGCATCATCATCATCATCATCATCATCATCATCATCATCATCATCATCATCATCATCATCATCATCATCATCATCATCATCATCATCATCATGGTTATCCGATTGATCTCCCAACTCCATCCCACCCAAACACGCGACTACCCCCCGGGGCACAAAAAGAACAGCGGAGGCAGTGGACACGGCCCACCCGAAAGACCGGCAACAGTAGCGCAACGGCATCAAAGCTCAGTGGCGCCGAAACGACTGGGTCAAAAACCAACTGAGCACGCAAGGAAACAGGAAATTCGTGTTCCCTCCATCCTGCAGGAGAACCACGGGAAACTCGAGAAACGAGGGGCCAGAAGCAGGAGGCGAAGCGAAGAGAGGAAACAGAAAGAAGTGCGAGGCCCACGAGGGATGAAATCGGGATGGGCTGATCTTGTTATGACGATGGTGGCGAATGCATTCGCGGGGATGGAGGGGGTAAAGGGGGAGGAGGGAAGGGGAGGGGGAGAGGGGGAGTCGTCACAGGACGATGAAGGCAGATAGAACTACTAGGAGCAGCAGCAGCACAAGCGACAGTAAGGCAACACGAGGTCAGAACAGGATGTGGATGACGACGGTGATGGTGGTGCAGATAGCCACAAGCGATGAAGACTGAAAGCAATCAGAGGAGGCACCTTGCCACACCTCGCATCTGGAATAGCCATCGCCAGGTGGACAGCAATTGCTGTAGACTCTCTTGTTGCAGCCTCGGGCGAGGACGTCGCGGCATGTTTGCTCTGTCTTGTGTCTGCGCAGCGTTCAGGTCGAGCCGCTGTGTGACCTCTTCGCGCAACGACGCTACACGTACCTGTCAACGAGCGGTTCGGGAAAGGAGGAGAGAGGAGCAGGAGGAGGAGGAGAGAAGGGCAGGACGAGGGGGAGCAGAAGAAAGAATGAGGGGGGGAAGGGGAGGAGAAGCAGGCTGGATACAGTCCGAGCAGGAGGCGGAGGGAGGAGATGAAGGAGGTGTGACAGCAGAAGGGTGGGGTCGGACCTAGCTCGTGGAGCTCTGGCATCGACCCTATGTCAAAGCGGTGAGGAACGGCAGGCGGTGGGAAGAGCAGCGGCGACAGCGGGAGCAGGAGCCCGAGGAAGAATTGCCCTGTCGCCAGTGCCCAGGTGGAATTTCGCCATCCACATGGGCACCCAGAAAAGCCTCCCGCATGGCTTCATCCCCCGCGGTGCTCTTTTGTCTCATCGGCGTACGACCATTATCATCAGAAGCATGCTCCTCCTCCGCATCCACCTCCTCAGCATCTTTCCGACTCATATCCTCTCCCCTCTCCCCCATCTCCCCCTCCAGTCATTGAAGTTGCGCAGCTGGCAGCTCCAAGGCTGGACGAGGTCTCGTCCTGACCGGTGCAGGACACCACTCCACTGGACCTCCCAGGAGCCAACGAGAGTGGCGACAGCTGCGCAGGTGGCAGCACCCAGGCTTGGCGAGGCCTCGGCATGATCTGCGTCAGAGAGAAGCCGATCGGCTGGACCCCACGGGCGCCCGCGAGAATGGCGACAGCTGCACGGCTGCCAGCCCGCGAGGAGCGCGAGGCCCCGTCTGGACTCCCGCGTAAGACACCGCTCCGCTGGGCAGAGCCCAGGAGCCCACGAAAGCGGCGGCAGCTGCGCCGTGCCAGCCCCCAGGGAGGGCAGGGCCTCATCCTACGTGCCCCCCGCAAAACATCACTCGAGCAGGTCGAAGGGAGAACGGAGAGGGAGGGAGGGAGGAAGGGAGGGGGGAAGACTTCTGCAACCTCTGGTATTCCTATGGATATCGACACCCCCTCGAGTGATCGGATCGGATCGAACACGTCAACAGAAACGTCCGAAGCCACAGCGCCGTCTTGAGCAGCATAACTACCACAAGGGGGGAACAGAGGGAGGAGGGAGGACGGAGGACAGGAAGGTGGCACAGAGAAGAGAGGAGACACAGGAAAGCGAGGAGAGGCCTCGTCACCCGCAAGCCCACTACTGGCAACAGCGAGGAGAGGGGAAGAGGGAGAAGGACAAGGACGACAAGAAGGAGGTTAAAGAAAACAGTAAGAATGACAGATCCCCAGGCCGAAAAGTGTACCTCTTTGAGTGAAACGTCCAAAAACACATGGATCCAATCGGATCCTGTTATCGGGTGAGTCAAAGTCTCAGGAATCCTGTTTCTGCGCTTGGCAGGTCCAATCTCCAGTGTGGGAAGCCCATGGATCCATCCATTGTGCTGAAACAGTTACAAAAGTGAAAATTTAACGAATCTCCTGGACCCAGGGGACATAGGATCCACGGTGCACTTCACGTGAAGCATAATGCTATGATTATGCTCCGGGGCGTCTTCCTCCTCCTCCTTCTCATCCTCCTCCTCCTCCTCCTCCTCCTCCTCCTCCTCTTCCTCCTCCTCTTCCTCCTCCTCCGCATAATCATCATCATCATCATCATCATCATCATCATCATCATCATCATCATCATCATCATCATCATCATCATCATCATCAGCATCATCATCATCATCATCATCATCATCATCATCATCATCATCAACATCATCATCATCATCAGCAGCAGCAGCACCATAATCAGTAGCATCATAATCATGATAACCATCATCAGCAGCAGCATCATCATCGTCATAAGCATCATCATCAGCGTCATCATCATCATCATCAGCATCATCGTCGTCATCGTCATCGTCATCGTCGTCGTCATCGTCGTCGTCATTATCAGCACTACCACCATCACCACAACCATCATCATCAGCAGCATCATAATCAGCATCATCAGCATCACCATCATCAGCAGCATCATCATGTTCACATCATGTTCGTCATCATCAACATCATTATCATCATCATCGGAATCATCAGCATCAGCATCAGCATCATCAGCATCATCATCATGGTCATCGTCGTCTTCATCGTCATCATTATCGTCGTCATCATCATCCTCATCATCACCATCGTCAGCACCAGCTCGAGAGTCACTGCGAGCTCCCGCCTGCCGCTACACAACCTCCTAACTATGAAGCAACGGAAGGGTCGATTGTAATTGCGGGCCCCGCCCACTCCCACAACTCCCCTCATACAGTTGGGTAGCTCGAGCGTCACGGCGGGCGCACGGCCACTCACGTGCCCGTAATAATGATACGCTCGACAGTCACCGCGGGCATCCGCGTGGCCTGTCGAGCTCCAAAGAAATCAGTCGACCTGCGGAAGTAACAACTAGTGCGTAGGCAAGACCGCATCTCTCTCCTCGTACCCCTCATCCTTTTTCTACTTCCCTTCCTCGTCCTCCTTCGCCTGCTCCTTCCCCTCTTCGCCATATTCTCCCTCGGAAATGATCGCCCCCCTTCGCCCCAAAAAATGCAGCCGCATCCTAGACCGGACCACGAAGCCAAGGCAGTTGAGGAGTCCCAGCGCGGCCGCCGCGAAGACCTCCAGGAATGTGTTCCTCCTGCACCTTGTCCTCCCTACTCCTCCCCCTCCCCTCGAATTCGACATTTGGGCTCAAGATTGTCTCGGCGACTCCAACACAGACCCCCCGCAATAGCGCAACGCGAAGCTTTGTCCGAGAGCACTGGCAGTGACGACCTGAACAGCAGAGATATGAACAGCATGCTTGCCCGTCCTGGCACACAACCCTCACCCGGTCAGATCGAGCCGAGCTGGTAAGATCCTAGAAGGCTGCACCATCTTCGACACGATCATCCTTTCGAGTAACCAGAAGTCCCACAGCGAAAGCGCCCCAGCCAAAGCAGTCGGGAAGGAGTCTGAAACAAAGACGCAGGCTGCAAACATGGCGACCTCGCGAACAAGAGCTTGGGCATCACAACACTTCTACGAGAGCAACGACGGAAACTCTCTACTCCGATGAGAGCGCGCCTGCGGAAGCAGCACATATCCTGAACACTGAACGAACTGACCTCGCAGGGGCTGGACGTGGACAAGCTAGCATTACTCGACTCATGCCTTTACGCTAATGCCCCCTCTCTCTAACTGTGGCCAATAGCAGAGACACGCCAGGCAACACTTGGCGGACTCTACGCGTCCCTGGAGATGGTACTAACCGAAATCACTCGGATTATGTGCTTCGCGTTTGCAGGGAAGCGACGGCGCGGAGCTCACGCGGAAGGGCAAGCGGCGCGAGCGCTGCACGCTGGTCCCTGGATGCCCAGTGAAAACGAAACTGCTCGCAGGAGCTGGACAGCGCTTTACCGAATGAAGAGTGGCGGGGCGGGAGTGAGGGAGTGGGGAGGGGGAGGGGAAGAGGGAAGGGAATGAGGGGAAGATGAGGAGGAAGAGGGGGAGGAGGAGGAAAAGGAGGAGGAGGAGGAGGAGGGGGGGAAGGTGGGCGAAGAGGAGACAGGAGCAGCAGGAGCAGCAGGAGCAGCAGCACGCGTAGGATGAGAACATGAGGGAGGCCTGACGAAGGCGAGAAAGAGAGAGAGAGAGAGAGGGGAGAGGGAGAGAGAGGGAGAAAGAGAAAGAGAGAGAGAGAGAAGAAAATAAACAGAGAGAGAGGGAGAAATCGCTCGGGGCAGGTCCGCACCAACATTGACTTCGGACATGACACGGTGCTGGGCCGAGCGGCGGCCAGCTCGGGAGAGGGGATGCCCTTGGTCCAGCGCCGCTGGCCCCCAGTGCTGAGCACACTGACGGCCAGCCCCCCCCTCGAGGCGGGTGGATTGCTGTCTGAGCGGGCGCGGGGCCCGAAACCCTCCAACGCGGCCTCCACGTGGTGCTCACTGTGGTCCTGTAGATGTGGCACAACGTATGTGGTGGAATCTGCGTGGCGCATGCCACTTGGCGCACTCTATCTGGCACTCTTCCTTGAGCCAAAACGGCAACGCAACATAGGAGAGGACAGCCCATCCTGGAGGCCATCTTGGAGGCCATCTTGCGGGCCATCTTGGGCCATCGTCACCATCATCATTCCCATCACCAACGTATTGGGACCATATTGGAAGCCATGTTGGGCCATCTTGGCAATATTGCTTGCCTCTTCGGCGCCTTGGAGGCCATCTTGGGAGCCATCTTGGGCCATCTTCGTGGAAGCCATATTGGAGGCCATCTTGGGGGGCCATATTGGGCCATCGTCACCATCATCATTACCATCATCAACGTCTTGGGACAATCTTGGAGGCCACCTTGGGCCATCTTGGCAATGCTGCATGCCATCTTCGGCGCCCGGTGGAATCTGCGTGGCGCATGCCACTTGGCGCACTCTATCTGGCGCTACCTCTCTGGTGCAGTCTGGCGACGACAGCGACGACTGATGACGCGAACTGTTTCGGCTTGCGCTCTCCAGAGGAGGTGCGCACATCGATCCCTCATCCTGCCGCGCGGGCATGCGGCGCGCGCATCTCAGAAGACTGTCATCTTCAGGACCGCCTCGAGGGGCGCCGAGGCGCCCTGTGGGCCTCCCAGCGGCCCCTGCTCCGTCATCTGGAAGAAGAATTGCCAGTGGCGGTCGACAGAACGCAGCACCATGTCCTTGAAGGCCTTCCGTGATCAGAAGGTGAACTTCTTCATCGCCAAGTAGACAGTGACGGTCGCAAGCTCGTCGTCACAGAAGACCACAGCGCAACGGAGAACGTTTCCTTCGTCGTGCAGGTGCATGAGCCAGGTCCCCTCCCCCTCGTCGGGCAAGGCGGCTGTCGGGATCAATTCCTTGATGGTGAGGATGGACTTCGCCTCGAGATACGTGACTCCAGAAAGATCGCGCTCGGCGTGTTCACGGACCAGTTGCACGAGCTGCTGCGTGAGAGCCGGCGTGCCATAATCGCCCAGAGCCGTCGGCACCGTGATGAGCACGCTCGAGAGGTCCTGCGCGGGCACCAGGCTCAGTTCGATGGGGGCGTCGCTGTACTCGCAGCTGCGAATCAAGCTGTAGAAGGGCAAGTGCTTTTTCTCCCGAAGACGCACCACGAATGCCAGCGGCTGCTGCGCTACATAGTGGCTGGCCGCGAGGGCAAAGACTTCGGCGTCCGACTGCGTTTCCGCGCCCTGCTCCTCCACGACGAGCCTCGCTTTCTCGGCGGCGACCCTGCCCGTGTCTATGCGCACGCCGTCGTATGCCTTCGCGAGGTGCTTGAAGGGCCGCTGGCGCGCGAAGTCGCAGGTGTGCATCGTCACGTAGGACTCGGCCATCTGCCAGAAGTGGGCGAAGCAACTGCCCTCAACCCACGTCACAGAGGGGTCGTCCTTCAGCGCGGCATACTGTTCAGGCATGGCCGACGCGGCAGCCCATCGCAGGAACCACGACAGCCGCTTCAGCTTCTTCAAGAAGTCCTCGCAGTCAGGGCCCAGGAGGGTCGTCCTTCTTTCCGTGGATCGCCACGAGGATAACGTCCTTGCCAAGTGCCCCTGGAGGCCCAAGTTCTCTCAGACACACCCCGTCGCGGTCCTCGCGGGTTTCCTTCAGCAGGACGAGCTCTGGGGCGAAGGCCGCCTTCACATCCTCCGCGAGCCGCGAGTGCTGGAGCAGCTGTTCGCTGAACGTCAGGCACGCCGCGACCTGGTCCAGGTCCACGGTCCGGAGGAAGGCTATCATCTGCAAATACTGCGGCATGTTCTGGGCGGCGGGGAAGTCACCCGCCGTCGCGTGCTCGCGGGACACCCACGGCCTGCTCATCGTGTACTGCACCCGCACCGTGTGGACATGAGAAAGGGCCACCCTGCCTGCAAGCTGCCGCCGCTTCTCAGCGCCTGGTTCAGCAGCGTCGCTCGACACGCGCCCCAGCGCCCTGCTGGGGGGGAGGGACGCCACGGCGGCCGCGAAGCGCCGCACCGCGTCCAACTTCTCGATGCGCTTCCTGATCGCCGACTCCTCTTCCTTCTGGGCATTGGACCGGCGGCCCCTGCCCTCCGCACCCCCGCCTTCGTCCTCCCGCGGCTCCGCCGCAGCGGCAGGGCGCTTCACCCTCTTCATGGGGTGGCCTGGCGCTGGGGCGGCCAGCAACCTTTGCAGGGCCTCGATCGCGAGCTCCGCGTTCTGCACGTAGGCCACGTTGTCAACGAGCTTCTTCTTCGCGTTCTTGACGTCGATGGCCTCGGGAAGCACCCCTGGGTGCTGGAGCGTCGACGCCGCCGCACCGAAGGTCATCCATCGTGTACTTGAAGGGGGAGACAGGGACGACAGAAGCGCCGTCACGATGCTGCGCCTTGGTCGCCTGGAGTTCCCATAATCCTGAGCAAGGGAGGTCGTCCCTCAGCTGCTGCCGATTCTTGCTCGAGCCCTCTATCCGCCGAGATCGCTGGTTGAAGTACGAGAGGGTCATGGCTCCCAGCCCTCTGTCGCAAGTCTCGCGGAGCAGCGCTACCGCGAACTCGCGCTCCTTGACGCTCGCCGACGCGGGCGCCTGCAACAAGAACTCGTCGGCGTCGACCTCCACCATCACGCCTGCCAGTAGAGACTGGTTGTCCGACACGGAGGGGGCTCCGAGGCTGCACGCGCGACGCATGTAGCGCTCGGTGACGCCCAGGTCCTTGCCGCCGCGCGAGTACTGCACTATGAAGTCCTGGCACTGCTGCTCCCCGTTGCTCGCCTCGAAGACGTGCTGCGCGCGATTCCAGGCTGCCGCGCATTGACTCGCCTGGAACATGCGCGCGAAGGACGGATCTCGAGCGAATATGCCGCACTCCTCGTGCTCGGGGAAGTGTGCGTCCAGGAACTGCTCGTCGAACAGGCGGGCAGCGATTTTTATCACGCAGGACCTCCTCATGATGGATTCGAACTCCTGCTCGGTGAGGTCGTTGGAAGCGAGCATGGAGTTAACTTCGAGCTTGACCCACCCAATCAACCTGATCATGCGGGTCAGCACGGCATAGGGGAGACGCCCCGTCAGACCCTCGCCGCAGAGGAACTTCTTCCACTGGTGCAGAAGCAACTTCTTCTTGGATCCTTGGGGCCGCTCCTGGCCTGAAAACACGAACCCCCCTGCGAGGAGCTCCACGCGCTTTCGGAGCTCTTCGTCGTCGTAGAATACGAACGGGTCGAAATACTTGTGAAGCTCGTCGCCCATCGACGTCGCGATGAGGTCGGTGAAGAGGGAGAGGCCGCAGCCGCCCGCACCGAGGAAGATGTAGCACTGGAGCACGTTCAGGCCGCGCTTCGCTATGGCCAGCGCAGAGCGGATAGCGTTGAGGGCCTCGAAATTACACCAGAAAGTGCTGGACAGGAACTTTTTCACGTCGTCCGTCGCGGCCTTCAAGACTGGGTCGTCCAGGGGCCGCTCTGGGCCCTCGTCCTCCGTGCCCTCATCCTCGTGCGTGGCCGGGGCCAGCGAGGAGTCCATGCAGAAGAAGAAGAAGTCCTTCGGCGTGGGCATCCCGTCTACCACGACCAGCGGCTGCACGACCACGCCGCCGGCCGTCATCATGGGGACATCGTACTTGACAGCGCGGTCGAGGTAGCACACCCCGCGCGCGGGGGTGACCGACGTGCTACACCACTCCGTGAAGTTCTTGACCACGGAGCCCCCCTGCATGAGCTCGGACCCGCGCTTCTTGCCGAAGGATCGGATACACACAGCAACGTCGATATGCCATGGCAGTTTCAGCTTCTTCGCCTTGGGCCCCTCGTCCTCATCGCCATCGCGGGGAGGGCGCCCGTCGCCTCCCTCGCCCACAGCTGGAGCGCGCTGCTGTGGGGGGCCGCCTGGCTCGCCCACGTCGGCCACGGCCTCTTCCTGATCGCCCGACCCCTTGTTCCACAGGGAAAAGTGCTCGAACATTTGAAGGCATTCTTCGCTGTCTGCTCGATGCCATCGCCGTCGGACGACTTGATAATGGCGCCAATCTTCTCCAGTATGCTGTTGGCATCTCGCCTCACATCCTTGCCGACGCAGCGAAACATGCCCTCCAGTCGGTTCATGAAGAGGCGGAAGTGGGCATACATACCCTCGGGAAACAGGCCGGTGTAGGCTCTCCACCCGCCGCTGTTCGGGTCGAAGAAGCGCGCGCGGCCGTCGACGCTGATGACGCGAGCGCGGCCGAGAGCCAGCCACATCAAGGTGACGAACTCGTTCGTGGCAAATTCGCCGAACCGACGGTTGTACACGGCGAGGGCGGCAGTTGCAAGCCTCATGTACTCCTCGGGCCAGTCGGCGTACTTCTCCATGATCCCCTTCTCGACACGACGGCTTTCAAAACGGATGCCCTCCCGAGGCGCGCGCTGGAAACGCTTGGTGTTGCGGGCGACATCCGACATGACCTGGGACAGCTCCACTTCGCACTTCTCGAACACCGCCTTGGACTCCTGGGCCCCCGGGAAGCGCTTGCGCCCCTCGAACACCTCCGAGGGGGGGCCGACCGCCCTGGCCCGCGGCGCAGCTTGAGATAGGCGTTGCGCCGCACCTTGCGACGCGGGGTCTCCTGCGGGCGCTTCGCTGTCCCCAAGGTCCAAGAGGGCACCCAAGCTTCCCGTCAAATCGACCGCCCCCCCCTCGCCCTCGCCCGCGAAACTCATGCCGCCCAGAAGTGTAGATCGCGTCGGGTGGGCGCGCAGCGCTGCGGCTGACTCGAACCAAAGCAGCTGCGTGCATCCGAGTGCCAGGTCGGAGGGGCGAGCAGAACCCTGATACCGAGGAGTCGGATAATGAGGATCAGATGGTCTCTAGTAGCAACGGTTGGTGCTGGCGGGCCTGTTTCACACGATGGCCCTCCCACTCTGAAGAGAACGACAGGCAGGTGGCAGTGGCGACGGCGATGGATAATGACGATATGAGGACGCGAATTGTCTCAGCTTCCGCTTCCAGAGGAGGCGCGCAGATCGATCCCTCATCCTACCATGCGAGCGCACGGCTAGCGCATCTCAGAAGACATTCACCTTCAGGAGCGCCTCAATGAGCCTCAGCGGGGCGCAGCTCTTCGCTTCTTGTTGAAGGTGTGGCGCTTCGTGCCCTGCGGCTTCTCCTGCGGGGGGCGCTTGGAGGGGAAACGCTTACGAACCCCTGGGAGAGCAACTCCTCGGCTGCTGCTCGCTGCAGCCCCGCCCTCGCTCTTAGCCCTGGCCGCGCGAATGCGCCCCCTGTGCTCAAGGCGTCGCGCGACCAGGGGCGCATCTGCAGCTCGCACGGCAGCCCACTCATCGTCGAACAAACGGAAGTCCGACAGCGCATGCAGGGCGACGGCGCGCTGGCCTGCCTGCGACAGCGTCGGGCAATACTCTGCAGAGTTGTGGGCGAGCAACGTCAGATCGCCGAATGCCTTGATCGTTAAGAGGAGCGTGGATTGATAGAACAGGCCGTGGAAGCGGAATCGGTGATTTATCTCTGCGTTCAGGGCCTCCACCGCAGCGGCTCCCGAAGACAACTGCGCTCGCTGCTCCTCTGGCACGAGTAGGAGGCGACGCTGGTTATTGAGAACGTAACTCAAGCGCTGGGGGCTGGTGGCTCGCCAGAGAGCCACGTGCACAGGCCCGACCTTCACCGACGGCTTCCTGCGGACCTCCACTGGGAAAGCGGCGCAGGGCGCGGCGAGATCCTCCAGGTAATCCTCCACCGAGCAATACGGGGCACTCCCATCCAGATCCTGCAGGCGGTTGGCCGCCGCGTCGGGCGCCATGCTGCACTTGGCGATCCAGTCTCGCGCAACCAGGGTTCGCTTAGACATTTGCACGGCCCCGCTCGGCTGGGGGAGCTGCCCGCGGCCGTCAACCTTGTTCCACTTAGCCTGCATCGCCCGCAGCGTCTGCTCCGCCGAGGTCTCGGCCCTGCCCTGCGCAGACTCGAACAGGAACGCTACGTGGACGAGGTCGAGAACGAGAAACTCCAAGTTCGGCATCACAGCTTTGAGCTGCGCCAGAAACTCTGGGCCAGGCGAATCCGTTGCCACGGTGCGCACCTGGGCCAAACAAGCGGCGGGCACATGCTGGGTGAGCTCTCGGGCGATGTCCTCTCCGCTCTCGCTCTTGGCCCCCACGCAGCAGACCACGGCCCCTGTCCGCCCGCGGACTGCGACGATGCGACGCACCGCCTCCGCGCCAGGAATTGCCGCAGCTTCTCGAACGGCAGCCTTCTCCCGGTAATCCGCCTGTCCGGCGATGCCGCGGCATGGGCGAAAGAGGCCGTCCGGGGACAAGCGTTGGAATTCGCCGTGCCCCTTGCATTCCTCGAGCGCCGACGCGCGCTGGCGAATCATCCCTTCCGAATACAGTGCCTCCTCAACCAAGGTCCTCCAGAACATCTCTTGCGCGTAAGGAATGTGCTCAGCCAGGTCGCACTTCATTCGTAGATAATGTAGAACAATCCGTGCGCGGACTTCCTGGAAGGCGAAACCGCACGAGAGGAATTCGGCGCAGTACATCTCGCAGAAAGCTCTGGCGACGCACGCGCAACCGATGCGAAGGCATTGCGCAGGGTTGGAACTGACCACCGTTGCTCGGACGAACTAAACCACATTGGCGTCGAGGAGGAGGACAACGGGGCGATCGTTGAATGCTTGCACGTCGCCACATACTGCGCCGAGTATCGCTGCGCTCCGAGCCAGATAATCGCGCCGTACCCTGCACACCATGCGATCGTGGTCAAACAACGTGGCCATGACCCTCAACTGCACCGCCCCCGCGGCCGTGAAATTGGCGCCGCCCAAACGCAGACCACCAGCGATTCCCCTAGCCGCCTGTTGCTTCGCGCAATGACGCGCATCTACGCGGCGACAGAGACGGGAGACCGAGCCACGCAACCATCGAAGCTCGGGGCAGAACGGGCAGGCGATCCCCCGGCCGTCGCTGGGCAACGATGCAGGAAAGGCTCTCTGTAACTGCCTCTTTGTCATATTCCTGACTTGAGAGAGGAACGACTGGATCTCCTCCTTCTGGGCGCCCCCGAAATCGACGCTCGCAAACACCTCGACCCCATCCATGCGACTGCCCTGAGCGAGCACGGGGGGGCTGCTCTCAGGCCCTTCATTGGCATCCCGAAGAATGTCCAGTGGGATCTGATCTGGCTGGGATACCGCAGCCCCCACCAGCTCCTGATCTTGGTTGCAGCAGAAGAAGAACTCGGACGCTGGGGTCTGGTCTGGTTGAGAGCTTGGTGCCTCCAGCGGGGCCCGGTCTGGCAGGCACCCGAAAAAGGACTCGAAACGAGCCATGCTGTCACTGCGCCTTGCCGATCAGCAAGGCCTCCTTGAGCCAAAACGGCAACGCAACATAGATGGCCATCCTGGAGGCCATCTGGGAGGCCATCTTGGAGGCCATCTTGGGGGCCATCTTAGCCCATCGTCACCATCATCATTCCCATCATCAACGCATTGGGACCATCTTGGAAGCCATCTTGGGCAATCTTGGCAATCTTGCATGCCATCTTCGGCGCCTTGGAGGCCATCTTGGGGGCCATATTGGGCCATCTTCGTGGAGGCCATATTGGAATACAAATTGGGGGCCATATGGGGCCATGGTCACCATCATCATTACCATCATCAACGTCTTGGGACCATCTTGGAGGCCATCTTGGGCCATCTTGGCAATGTTGCATGCACTCTTCGGCGCCTTGGAGGTCATCCTGGCCCATCTTCTCGGAGGCAATCTTGGAGGCCATCTTGGATACCAGACCAGATCAGAGCAGACAAGACCATCCTAGACCAGACCAGAACGACGACGAGGACGAGGACGAGGACGACGACGACAACGACGACGACGACGACGACGACGACGAGGACGACGACGACGACGACGACGACGAGGACGAGGACGACGACGACGACGACGACGGCGACGGCGACGACGACGACGCCAGAGCCGCAACTGGCAAAATTTTGTCTTACAGCGGTTTCTGACGACGACGACGACGATTTTTTGCTGCGCCTTCCGCCTGGCGTAACACCGTCGATTGATCTCCTGCCTAGACATGGCGGACCCATGCAGAGGCCGCCTGCCCCACTTCACACCGTAGCCCCTAATATCATGGCCTTTGCTGCGACGGTCGCGCTCGGTCCGCGCACTGGCCCCGCCGGCCACGACAGTGCGTTTGCGGCTACACCCTGGCAGCGTCAAAGGCCCAGGTCCCTTTGGAAGTGTCACGTAAGGCTGAACCGTTCGAGATTTCTTTGCTTTGCCTTTGTTGAACTTCACTACAGTGGGGAACTCTCGGGACAGCGCTACTATGGCTTCGGCTTCTATTTTTTTTCCGGGCAGAGAGCTGCAAAACTAACTGCTGACCACCGCCTTCACGATACGCCCGTTTAACGGAAAACATCTAATAACGCAAGAACACGCCGTCTTTGGCCCAATAACGGCAGCTCAGCTCCAGGTCGGTGCAAAATTCACGCACAGTCAGGCTGGGTGCTTTTCTATTCCAACATCCGAACAGTCCATTCTGGACAAGTCCACATTTGCGGCTCACCTTTTTCGGCGTCATTGATAGAGTACCCTGACAGGGGCAGACGCCCCAGAGCCATGCTCCTTCCTTGTAACAGAGATCGCCTGCGTGGTTGATTAAGGCCTTCAACAACCCGCAAGGCATCATGATCACAACTTCTTCCCCGTTTTGATCATAATGCACAAAACGAATGTCTGTCACATGGTCCAGCATGCAAACTATATAAGTCCCTTCGGGATAATGCTGTCGCATGCACTCCCACTGCGCACTAAGACCAATATTGCCTCGTTTTACAACCACCTTCTCCATCCCATGCTCTCGCAAAGACGTTTCGCATCGCTTCAGCTCTGGATCGGTTTGCTTTGGTAGCGTGGTGTCAGCAACCCAGATATGAATCCGCTGCGGTTGGATCTGTTGTCGCCGCAAAAGAAAACCCAACGTTTTCTCGCAAAGAACATCAGGGCGGTCAGCCGATGGAATCACAATAATATATTCACGGCCGCCTCGCCCAACGTAGGATTCAAGAGTTCTCACGCTGGCAGCTTGATCACAAAGGCAACGGAACAGATAATGGAGGGATGGGCGAACAATGAGTAAGCATTACTGAGCACGCGTTCAAAGGAATACGAGAGCACTCACGCAAGCTGGAGGACAACGCTGGGACTGGCACAGCAGGCGTGTAAGACAAAGCGTTGCCGGGTCGACGCGTCTAGCACGCTGTTCCTATTTTCCTCGGGAACGGGGGGGGGGTGGCAGGCGAGCCGATCCGCAAACATGTTGTCGCGCACGCTTGCCGTCATGGAAGCCGGCACGCCGCGCCCCCCCCTTCCCCCCCCTTTCCCCCCCCCCCCTCCTCCACCCTCCTCCTCGAGGCCCCGCGATTGCCAAGATGGCCCCAAGATAGCCCAGAGATTGCCAAGCTGGCCCAAAGCGGCGTCAAGATGGCTCCTCCGGGGAAGCGTGGAAGTGCAAAAATGGCAGAACGGATCGCCCAAGATGGCTGCCTGACAGAAACTCCCGATACCCTGGCCTCCT